TAAAATTAATTAAAAAATTAATAAAATATTCACTTGTCAGACAACAGTAAATTCGATTTTTTTCAATACGTACCGCTACAAGAATTATTAAAGGTAATAATTATAATCGCATTGTTAACTTTATTTATTGTTAATCTTACTTAGTTGTTCTTAATCTTACTTATTTATTTTATTATTAACTATGGTATTTCTTGTTATGCTAAATTGTTACGTCTGTAAGAATATTAAAATTTGTCAAATAAGAATTGCTTAGGTATCCACTGTAAAAATCATCATTAGAATTTTGATGTAAAATATTCGAAGTTATTAACAAATACAATAAGTTGTATATAACAACTAATGTACCATGTAGTAATTTTAAGAAAAAATAATTATATTGAATATAATACTTTTGTTTAGATTTAAAATTCGGGTTATTTTTTAGTGTCTAGTTTTAAGTAGGACTCTGCTCAGTGTTTCAGATTTCGGTTGGATTTTTGTAATTACTATTACGTTCATTAACTGATGCCACAGTATTTTTCTTGTAATCACGTCATAAATTTTACAATTTGAAGCCATTTGATTTCTTAATAGCTAAAACCTGATTACTTGGAAAAAAGTACTTAAAGAATTAAGGCGATTCACAAATAACAACGATACACTTATACCTGAATAAAAAAGATATTACCAAAAACATACTTCCAATAAATGAACACATACAATACTACAACCATTTTTTTAAATTTATTTACCAGATGTGTACTTAATGAGATATTTTTGATTAAAGTAATAAACTTTCCCCTAGGACAATATTCAACTTATGAAAAAGATTCATTTTAAAAATTTAATTCTGAATTCTTTCAAACAAATTAAATTCTTCGTATTATGTATAAATGTCTATAATACATATGTCGTACCATTAAGCGTATGTTTGTTTTTTTTTTGAACAGATTTGCTTTTGAGATTTGCAGGTTTTTTCGGTATTTAATAATATTTCCTTTGAGGATAAAATGAAGAATTTCGTGAAAAGAAAGACAAAAATATTTACTTTTTTTGTATTCCCTGAACGCAGTAAAAAGGGCTTCGAAATATGACGAAGAAGCTCTTGGCTCGGCGTAGAATCTCACGAACATCACGTTATGGTTGGAAGTCACGGAATCGGCCATTGATCCGCAGAAATTTTTCAGTCTGGAAGGTATATCAGTCCGGTCCGTGAATACCTCCAAAAAGTTCGCATCACAGTCATTTGGTTTTTCCAAATTAAATTTCGGAATCTTAATTTGTATCTAGAACAAACAGACTGGTTGAACTGCTTAGTAAAATAAAAGTTAAAAGATTTCTATTTTATTAACACAAATGCTTAGAAGCATAATGGTAAAAGTCTCGACAAATAAACACATCGACAACTGAATTCGTTCTTGTTGTCTTTTCCTGTCGTAATCATAAGATCTTCACCTAACCGAACTTTCTTACAGACATACAAAAAAAACGGAAAAACTAAAATTATACTTCGTTTAGTTTCTCTAGCGATGTGACGTTTAGTTTGACCGGCGCAAAGTAGAAAAGAACAGCACTAGGCCAGAAAAGAAAGGAGACAACTCTCGGCCAAACTCTTAACCGATGAGGAGCGTATAATCCGTNATCATAACAGCACATTAGAGCAATGCAATTTTAGTGGATAAAATAGTCAATTTTTCGAGCAGTACTGTACGGATTATACGCTCCTCGCCGGCTAAGAATTTGGCCGAGAGTTGTCTCCTTTCTATTCTGGCCTAGTGCTGTTCTTTTCTACTTTGCGCCGGTCAAACTACAGAAACTAAACGAAGTATAGGTACTCACCTGTATAGTATGGTGGTCCCTGATGAGTTTCTTGACACAGTTGAATACGAAGGCAAAGCACATCCCCGAGAGAATAAGACAGAATATAACCATAATGATAACCATTTTCTCTTCGCTCATATTGATGTTCTCGTCGGACTGTGGAATTGAAAGAGGACAGAAATCAAAGACGGTGTCAAGTTCAGAACGCGGATAGTTTGAAAGCGGGGTGCTTTTTAGTTGTGGGGTTTATAATACATCAATGTGAAACTACGTAAGTACTATTCTACAGGTTGCTCTTAACGGCGCTCGAGGGTCATAAAGTAGAGATGCCGAAAAGATTTAAACATTTTGAAACCAGAAACCAGCATTTGTTACGAAGTAGGGAAAGAAAAAATAACACTGTCAAATGTAAAAGGTACTACTTTATTATCTAAAGAGATGCCCACTTCACTGATGAGGATACTTCAGTAAAGGTAGACTTTAAAGAAAATTAAGCTTATTCGTAAATAAGTGTGTATAGTATGGTTTTCATTTTATTATGATTATTATTCTATCATCACAATTAATCAAAAATAGCGGAAGTATCGGTATCCTAAAAAATGATATTATGAAACACAGAAGTAATTTGAGTAATATTACTCCTGGCCTTAAAGATATAACTATCCACCTTACTATTTAAAACCAGAATTCTTTAGAGCGTAACTCATGATTATTAAATGAGAGTGCTTATCTACATGGCATGAAAATGGATTGAATTATGTTTGAAGCATTATAAAATACATAAGTTATAATGAATTTAGTAAAAATACAAATTCTAAAAATTAATAGAACATTAGACGTATAATATCAAAGGTTTGAAATCCAGTTTAAACTGAACAATGAACAGGTATTGCTTTTAGTAATACTTAAAAGCTTTCAATAAATCGACATTTTATTATGATTCATTAATGGTGTATTTATACAGTGTATTTCTGTTGCTTAAATGTTACAAATACAAAAAATGTACTTTGTAAGTGTGATAGAAAAGCGAACATTTCAAACTGGATAAATGAATCTAAGTATTTGTTGAGGTTATTGTATTTTGAGTGGTTAAAAGAAAAGTAAATAGTTTTCAAAGAAAAGTCGGAAAAGGGAAAAGTCGAGATCGATTTGATTCAAAATGAAACTGCTTCTTCCTGAAATCGTAAAATGCTATAAAATGAATAGTAAAGAATAACTGCGAGAAAAGTTTAATCAACAATACGAAAGCGTGTTACGAATATATTTGTCAGAACTTATTTTATATGTTATGAAAAATTGCATGCGTTTTAAAAAAGTTATTATGTACAGTAAGTCATTTGTAACGATTCATGTACGGTGGTGGTTTGCTGTTTAACATTGAGCTAAAATATGGCGTGCTAATCTTAAAAGCTGTTCGTTATTACAAATCTGCAGTTAAAAGATTAACATATATCCACGACAAAACATTTTATGGTAAATCCGTTCTTACCTTCACGCAAAAAAATGAAAATTCAAGAAATCCCCAATGCAAAAAAGAGCCTAACAAAAGACATGAAACTAATAAACTCTCTGTTCATAAATTACTAAATAGATAAAGTAATTGTTATTAAAACTTTTTCAATACTGACCGAGTGATACGTAAAACATATTTATTACACTGTGATATACCATATGCGAAAGAGTGAACCTTGGTATAGGGAATTTCAATGTAAATGTTACCGGACATCGTATACAATTCCTAGCAAATGTATACAATTTCGAGACTATTTAGGAAATGTATAGAATATTGTTTCAAAGATTTTTTAATACACACATATATACTGTATACATTTCCTAGGAATTGTATGAAATTCCGACATTGCAAACAAATGCTTTCTGTGAATAAAATACATATCAGCTCGCCTCCAGCGGGCAGGGGTATTAAATAAACTCCAATCTGTCGTAAATATTTACAAAATAACAATATTTTATACATTTCCTAAATAGCATCGGAATTGTATACAATTCCTAGATTTCATATATTTCTGGTAACATATACACTATGTGAATTTTTGCTTCCTAGACATCTGTATTGTGCATCTGTACGGGCGTGTGTCTGTGATTGGGTCTGTCAATCTCTCAACAGTCGGTGTGCGTGAGCTAGCGTTATTGCTATCGATGAGAGCGGCGCATTATAACTCAGTGCCAAGATCCTCATTTTCGCATACTGTATAGTGCGTAGGAGCTTAGGCACTGATCGCAATAAGCTACAATAATTGATGATTTCGCGTATCTGATTTATGTTAGAACAAGCATTTAGAATCGTTTAGTGGATATTTACTTTGTAAGTGAAAACCTTAAAGAGAAATCGTTTATAAAGAAAAGAAATAACAAAAATTAGATAACCATCATGCTTTACTGTTGTTGAATAAATGAATATTCATCTATACATTCACTAAGGTATGTTTAGATAAGTATATCCTTTTATTTTTTACTTCGGGGATTACTTGATATTGAATGGTGACACATACCGGTATTACGAAGGGAATTTTATGTACGAGTATGGTCATGAAATTGTGCCCTTTTCATTTTAACGAAGAATTCTCATTTTAGTGACAATGGCATTTAAAAAGCATTTAAATAAATAAATAAATAAACAAATAAATAGTTATTTAAGGGATAAAACAAAAACCAACGAGTTTCTGACCTGGCCTTCTCCATTTCCACCCTATAATGAAAGAAATATACTGAGTTATATCATATGAATGTATAACTTAACTTTAGTAAAAACCATTTGTCATGTATTTATTATCAATTTACGTAATATCTACTGTTCAACCAAAAATATTACATGTTGAATCGGCAGTGTCAATCATTTAAATTGATGCATGTACTAACAATAATAATGGTTACAATAATGATAATTAGAAGAAGAAAAAGAATTAATGTAGGATATATTTACAATTGCTCTTTATTTTATTAATATTATCTAGTGAATATTAATCAAATGCTTGTAGAAAATTTGTAATAATATTAAGAAGTTCAAGTTATTAATTTATTGGATAAAATTGCAAAATTTTGAACATTATTCACACAATCCCAATCGTATTGTTCTATTGCAGGTGTTAGGTGTTTTGTAAATTTTATTTCTTCTATTGTTTTTAGGGACATTTAATTTATACTGTTTCTACTTTAATCGGAGTAAATGTGTGAAAGCTCGTTCGCGTAGAACGTATATTGGACTGTATTATATTACTCGTCATTTCACGTTTTATTACTGAAATAAAGGAATTTTTCCCTTCCAAAGCATAAAATCTCACATTTAGTACATGACGTCGAGCATTAAAATTCAAATTTATTGCTCATATTCAATTTATGTTGATTTAAGCTAATTAGTATAGATGTACCTACCCTTTAGGACAAAGCAAGGATAAATATGTGTTTCACCCATTCACTCTAATTTAATTTATTTTAGAGACCATAAATTAATTCTTATTATCACAGAGAAATATGTAGTTTACAAAAAATGGTGTAGGTATTAGTTAATTATTTTTAACTGAATTATTAATGGACAAAATATGACCATCTATCATTATAGGTGGTAAATAATAAATTTAGTCAAACTAAATATGACAACCAATTGAAGATGAACAGAATGAATAGAATTGCCTACCGAAATTTTTGTAAAAAAGGTATTTACGTGGACTGCCCATTTTATGGTTAGCGTTATCTCTACCTGTTTATTAAATTTGTAACTTCAATTTCCTGCGGGACTATAGTAAAAGTGAGTCAGTCTGACATGACAGCTCAGTTTTACAGGTAGATTTGATGTAACGGGATTTTGTAGTCATTTATTCAGGATGTCCGATCAAAAATAGATCGTTTTTCAATTGCATATTGGCAAACCCAGGGTCACCCGAAAAATTGAATTTTGTGTAGATACAACAGTTTGTGGAATAATACGGACTTTTATGTTTCTGATCAGTAGTCAGCCTCTGCCAATGAAGGATTTCGTTATTTTCTTTTGCGTATTTTTTTTAATAGTTGTATTAAAGAAAAAAATATACCAAACAAATGATACAGGACCATGCTCGAAATGCGCAAATAGCTTTACCATAAAACGCCTTCATGAACATAAAAGTTGCGCAGCAATGGCAAGAATCGGAGATAATATTCATTAGCACCACAACCCGCCGGGAATCGAACCCGGAACCAGGACGGCAACAGATTCTTCCTAATTAGCTTGAGGTGATTTGATTGCTTAAGATGATAAGGTTACTGTACGAAAAGGCAATACGTATGACATTGCTGTATGTATTATGCTACAGCAATTTATGCATTTCGAATACAATGTAACATAGGTCCATAAAAATCAATTTTATTGGTTTCCTTTAGGGTTCCTACACGCATTTGAAAGATAATCTAATTTTCAACCGTTTTATTTATGCGTATGTATAAAAATTGCTTTTGAATTAATCAAATATTTTTTTCGTATCGGTAGGTACCTATTCTTCTTAAAAATTTTTCTAGATCGTGGATGCGGTAGACGTCCTAATTTTATTTATAAAAAACATAAAACACAGTTTTATATATTTAAATTATTATTTTGCATTAAACAAGGTATTACTTACATGGCAATCTTCTTCATCTAACATAAAACGGCAGTTATTGACGTCGTTACACCTTAGTTCTTCAGCAATACAAGTAGTATCGTCACAATCAAATTCGTCATCATAGCAGCCACTTTCTGCATCTAGAATAAAAATGCAAAATATATTTTTTAACCTTAATAGCAGAAAATTACATTCTTCTTCACATTATGGGACAATTTGAAAAACAACTTTTGCGTAGATTTAATTCTATAAAATATAATTTTAATCTTATTAATAACTAGCGACCCGC